GGCAGCATAAGGCCAATATCCATGGTGAAGTCCTGCTTGAAGTAAATTGGCACGCGTTCCTTCCAATGTGGACCGCACGGCTCGTTCGGCAATGGCATTGGATGTCGAAATGTAATCTTTACTGATTTGATGCCTGATCTTCATAGCTCTCATAGCTGCTACAATTTCTGGGGCATTATCACTGTAAAAGATTCCAATTTTCTCCAAGTCATCAACGAAATGTTTCATTGCCAGTGTGGTGTTGGAAGTGTCACGGCGTGCAACGGGGTAAACATATCGAAAATCAGTGGCAACATCCTTAAGTACCATTGCGACCCTATCTCCATCAACACCGGTTTCAGGGTCCGATTTGGCGATAAGATAGTCACCTGTGACATGATCCCCAAACTTCTTTGCATCGACCATGGATGATCCTCCTTTAGAGTAACCGGGTGGCTTGTACATCTTGGCCTTTGTACAGACATCACAGTATGGATTCTTGGGAATATGGGTAAGCATGTGTCGTTTGCTCTTAGCTTCAGCCTTGAGTGCGGCCTTACCCCTCTCCCTACGTCTTTCCATTTCCGGGTCACGACGGACTTCATCCCTTGAATCATCAACATCATCAGGCTGGACCTCCCGGTCAGCTGGTGCAATGCCTTCTTCATCGGAGGGCGCATCGGCACCGGGATCGCCTGAGATGTCGGGTACAAGGTCATCGTCAAACTTTGATGAATTACCTCCTACAACTGCAGGTTCGTCATCTTCATATTCTTCGTCGTAAAGGTCTGGTGACGGGGGAGAATCCTCCTCTTCTATGAAGCCTGACTCGGACCCTGATGAACTAGCCATCACTTTAACTCTCTTCATGGGAGAACCATTGTTGCTTGATTTTGCCACTGTGGACATACTTGGTTGATTTGATTTGGAACATAGATATAGGACATAGTCTCTGACCTCAAGTTCAATGACCTTCCCATCAGGTGAAACTAATTTCGGCTTCTCATTCTTGGAGCCCCTCCACAAGAAGTCAAACCCATCCTCAACGCACCTGAGACCAACTGATAAAACAGGAGGTGAACTTTGCACCAGGTACGGTGATACTGTAGCATTCAGCTCTGGGACTTTCACCTTGCCCTGCTTCATAGATGAACTTTCCCCATTTGCAGTGATGAGACGGATTGGATTATCGGAAAAATAACCATAATGATCCGGTACATGGTGATCAGTGAGTAGATCTTGTGCACTACCGGTATCAACAATCCAATCGATAGAGGCTTCGAAACATCCATCAACGTACTCCTCGGATTTGGCAGGCATTGCAACTATTTCCTTTGGAATACAGTGATCGCAACCAAACATGGTGTCACATTCATAGTTGCATTTGCAGACATTGTTCATTAACGAATTCTTGGCTGCTCCTGCCAACATGTTCGCTGACAAACATGCGTCCTCTACGTCTCTTCGGTCAAAATCAAACGGATAGTTGATAGGAAAAGTTCTCTTGTATCTCCTTGAAGCTGGATTGATAGGCTCAAGGTCCCCCTTGGCAATGACTTGGTACACATCGTGATTGGTGTCAAATGTCACTGCTGGGCAACTGATCACATCAATGGGTGGCATCAGGCATGCATTGGATACGGACGCTAACATCGAGGCAATTAGGCAGACGGCTGCTGGGGAAGCTTTGGGAGTGTCAGGCTTGCCTCTATTCCCCTTTGGGGAGCGGCTATTCCTGGGACTCCTTGATCCCTTCTGCTTTGGCGAGCGGTCCCTGCCTTTTCCTGGACTTCTGCTGTTCCTTCGTCTGGATCCTTTCGAGTCATTGGACGAAGGCCTGGCAGGAGTGGCAGCACGAGGAGATTTGGTTTGCTTACCCTCGTGACTAAACCTACAGTCATTGCCCCTGTTGCATCTTCCCTGTTTCCAAAACTTGCATGGCTGCTTCTTCTTGCTCTTATCGTTCTTACCCCTTGATGATGATCTGCCACGGTCGGATGAGGGTCGTGATTGACTTCTATCTTTCTTTGGTGGAGGCTTTTCATGTTTGAATGGGCAGGCATCATTCGTGCAGGTCCCTTTATTCCATTTGACACAGTATCCCTTTGGAATGTACCCAGTCTTCTCACCCACAGCCGGAGCTGCGCTGGACGACGAGGCACCGAGGGTCCTGGCAACTCGTTCACGATTGGATTCGAGTCGCTCCCTGTCCAAGTAGCGGCGAACTGCTGTCACTAGGAAATCGTAGGACTTCTTTTCGGTTCCATCCTCAGCACGATGATATTCCTGCAAGTCGTGTGCTATTGCTTTACTGGTCTTGACTTGGTTAAAGAACAGAGTCTCCAGAATGCTAATCTCAGGAATCTTGGGAATACCAGCCATCACTTGATCCCAATTGCTGATGAATCCGCGTAGGTTGTCACCCTTAAGTTTGACACTGAACAAATCCTGTAGTGAGTAGGTCGCTCCATGCTTGATGTTTGTACTGAAATGTTCATGCATCATAAACAGTACTTGACGGCCCCTCACATAACGATGGTTTGTTGCTTCAGTCTCTTTATAAGTGTCAACCTTTCTTGCGAAATCACCTGTGAGAATATTGGTGAGCGCGGACAGCAACTTGGCATCCAGTGTGGTGAACTTGCCTACGTCACGAAGAGTCCCGATTGTCTGGCCTTCTTTCCAGGTCTCACTTATCCAATCAAATGCTTTATCAGGGTCTGTAGATGCCGACATTACAGCTTCCCTTGTGCGAATCCTCCAATTTCTGTATGACTCCGCATGGGGAAAAGCTGGAACTTTCACAGTGTCGGCTTCTTTGACCTTGTTCTTTTCATGTGACTGGTCCCTGGAACTGCCGAACATGGCTCTCATGCGACGGATGAAGCGATGGTCACTATCATCAGAGTTGTACCCATCCCCGTCTCCATCATCATCATCACCGTCCCCAGGCCCACCTCCCGGTGGGCGTCGGCTCCCCGAAGGGGGCTTCTTCCCACGATTGTCCTTACCACGCCTGCTGTCGCGATCTGCCTGTGAGTCCTTGTCATCATCTGGGGGGTCAGGTCCTGGTGGCTTTCCACCGGCATCCGATGGTGCAACGCTTGTTGGTGGATACGTTGGGGACCTAAGACCGGTTATCTCAGAGACAGGATCCCTTTTATCCACTGGTGCATTTCCATCCGCATCAAGCATTTCCCATAAATCTTGGTTGTGATCCGCTGGTTTGGATGCACTCGCTGATGCGAATGATGGCAACGGTGCAGAGTACTTGACCTCAGTGGACGGCGGTATGACGGCAGTGGCGGTTTGGACAATTGGAATCGGCATTGGGCCTATTGTGTCAAGGAGTTTACTCATCCTCATGTTCATGGATTCGGTTTGCAACTGTTGGGCCTTTATTTGCTCACTTTGTTGCTTGATGATGGATTCAAGTTGGGACATCTGCATCTTACGGTGTTCATCCTGGCGTTCATAATGATCCCTGAGTGATTGGATTTGTTGTTCCTTCGTTGCATTCGACTGTCTGGCATTTCCGTCTGAAACCCTTTTGTACATTTCCCCTTGTTGGGCCAGTTCTTCACGGAATTGATTCTCCCGACTCTCTGCGAGCAACATCATCTGTTGCATCCGGGCACTCGCAGCTTGTTCTTCTGCATGGAACCTGCCACTCATTTCGGACACCATCGATTGCATCATGCTCTCTGTATTGGCCATGGCCTCTCGATGGCGTACCTCAGCAACCTGCTCAACCATCTGTGTAATTGCAGGGTCATGTGCATTCACGTACACTTCGTTCTTTTGGACTTGCTGAAGGTTCATGGTGTTGTTTACTTCGGTCATTTCATGGTTGTGAACCTCAAGCTTGCTCGACTGTACATGATGTGAGCCGGCAGGCATGCCCTCCCGGGATGCGTGATAGTCATAGCCACGGTGCGAAAACCTTGGTGCTCCACTCTGGGGCATAACAGCGCCTGGTGGGAGCGGGGCTCTGACTTCACGTTTGTCACTCCGAGAGCGTTCCGAAGGAGTCTGAGAGGTAATGTGACTCGTCGTGTCGATTTCAGTCTGGCGATCGTCTGCATCCCGAATTGCCATGGCTTGCGGATTCCCGGAATTGCGCGGGCCCTCCGGAGATGGTTTTCCAGAGGGGGCAGACATTTAGTTACAAGGGAACGTATCTGGCGATACGGCTGATAACCTATATTTACAGGTTATGCAACCTAGATCAGCCAGCAACACACACACGCTTTTTGTTCTTGAGCCATAAAGTCCAATGAATGTACAATTACTACAGGACACACTTTACAGGGGAGTAAGAACAGTGTAGATTACTATCCCGTAAAAATAATATATAACAAAACCACCAATGAATAATAATAGTGGATATCCAGGAATATCCATGGGGTATGTGTAAATCCCCTACTAGACCATGCTTTATCATGGTCTAGTAGGGGGGTGTTTGTATGAGGGGGAAGGGAGCATTTTTTTTTCAGTAGAATCATCGAAAAATGGGAGGTTCATCAACAAAGTTCGGGATATACCCTCTGGTAATTTAACATAACTATGGAAAATCACCATTTTTATTGGGTAAATCCACTATAAATGGCCATTTTCCATAGCTATGTTAGTCATTACCAGAGGGTAATGGGGATCTACGCTGGTGGATTCCCATCCAGGATTTTCACCATGTTTTTTTAAACGGTGAAAATCACCGGATTCGACGAAGGATCATCTTGGATGGTTTGGTACCAGAAGCTATTGAAAATGGTGATTTTCCTATTGAAAATGGTGATGTTCCATGATTTTCCATCGTTTTTTGTATGTTTACCAGAGGCTAAAAAAAAACCTAAATCCCAAAAATTTGACTGAAATCCCAGAGGATAAATATATGAATCCTCCATACTAACCACAGATGTTCCCATGAACTACCTCATAATCTCAACATTCTCAACTCACCGGTGCCGTTCCGTTCCGCCGTTCCGTTCACCGTCGTGGCCGGAACTGTGAAATTTTTGCGCCTTCCCGGCCGGCTCCAGGTGGTGCGCACGACGCAGGTAGGCGCTGACCATGTCCTCCTTTCGGCAACTCCTTTCGCGAATTCGTGGGTGGATCGTGGGTGAATCGTGGGTGAATTAGCGGAATATTATGGAATCATATTAACTATAATTCGTGGCTTATATTAACTATTAACCATTATTTGTTGATCATATGAATTTGTGGTTTATCCATCAACTATGGCTGGTTGATGATGGATAATGACCATATAATCATATAGTGGGTTAATGATATCAACTCTCGTTGTATAACATGATCAGTTCAGGTTTAATTCGATTAAATTCGTGGGTTGGTGATATAAACCACTATTGATTCATATTAGTGGCTTAAACATTAATCAATAGTGGTTTAATCATCTATATTGGTGGTTTATATGAACTGTGAATATGAATGTGTGGGGGTTGTATGAATCTCATCATGAACAATTATTTGAAGTAATATCCAATAGTGGATGAATAGTGGATTAATAATATTCAATGGATTGGTTTAAGGGAAATTTTATAGGAAAGCCTCATATTTAATTGGAAATCTATGGTTAATATGGAGGATTAACATTTATCATCCATATTGACTATTAATATCATTGATAATGATGGACAAATATCGATGGATAATTGATCACTGATGATGGAATTTTTATATATAATAGTTGTTTTTAAAATTGATGGATAAACCACAAATTCATATGATTATATGGCCATTCTCCATCATCAATCAATCAACCAGCCATAGTTGATAGTGGATAATAGTTACAGTAATGGGCTTTACTTTGAACCAAAATGGTGATTTAACTGGGAACTGTGAGGATCCATAGTTGCCTTATGATAGCGAAGTTGGTTTTGGTCACTAATATATCACTGCTTATGGTAGGTACATCGGACTAGTGAATAATTTTTCTGAGCCAACTTAGGGTTGGAAACGGTTTTTTGGTCTTTACCGTCCATCTACTAATCCACATATGTTTCTATAGTCTTAGTCAAGATTCCCTGAAGATTTAAAATGGTTCAGTTCCATCAATCTAGGGGAAAAACGCAACGGTCATTTTTATGTCAATGCAAATGAAGCAAATGAGGCAATTCCCGTGGTAGTACACTCTGGTTATTTAACATAGCCATGGAAAATCCCCATTTTTAATAGGTAAACCATCTATAAATGGGCCATTTTCCATGGCTATGTTAAATAACCAGAGGGTATGCAAATGGTCCTCAAATTGAAGTCACTATTGCGGACCACCGTTGAAAAAACCCACCGCCACGAACATTGGGTGGTTTGACCCAGCTGAATCGGACCGCTACGGACCAAGGTTGTCGGACCAAGTTGCTGGGTAACTCCAAGGATATTCCCATGATATGTTCATCATATTCCCATGATACCCTCTGGTAAACTAACATAACTATGGAAAATCACAATTTTTAATGGGAAAACTCACTATAAATGGCCATTTTCAATAGCTATGTTAAATTACCAGAGGGTATACCACCAGCTCACCACCCCAACTCAAGCCACTCAACCCACTCAACCTCTGGAGCACCATTTCCAAGCATTTCAGCCTTGGAAGACACCATCGAAGGCCATGCTGAGGCCGTTGTCTAGTGACTATAACTGACTATGTGACTATGCTAATCTAATTTCAGGGCCTTTCCACTCAAAAAGATGAAGCCTGAAAAATAAGATGTGCTCATTTCAGATGATGATCGGTCTTTTTTAAGGGTTTCCATGTTCAACTTGGCGGGTGTGCTGCTGGTTTTCTAGCGAAAAACCAAGGATGTCCATATCTATCATAATTTACCAATAGGTTTTTCAAGTACAACATAGTACAACCTATATGTACATGCTATAGCGAAGAAAAGTGCCCATTCTAGATGATTCACCTATTGAACATTGCCATTTTCAATGGCAACCTGATTATATATCCAAAGGATATTTCATGGCACGTCCATTTATCATAATTTATCTATATCTACAGTATCTTAATTTACTAAAGGGTTTTCCCATCAAATCCCATATATGATACGTATTGCTGGTGATTCCAATGTATAACCTCTGGCAATCATCTGGAAAATCTACTATTTATAATGTCCTACTGTGGATGGAAGAAATCCTGCACCGGTTGATAAATGATTAGCACCTGGAGATTTGCAGCTTTTCTACCATCCAAAGTGCAGGATGTCGCAACCACCGTATTTTCATACATTCGAAGCCATGATCTCCCTGCCAGCCATAGTAGCGATACACTGGAGGGTATCTTCATTATGTGCTTATTAGTTACCCTCTGGTAATTGCCATATAGCAAACTACCATGACATTACCATGTTCATCTCATTTTCCCTAATATAGCTAATAGTCATAGTTTTATATATATATATATAATTTATCCGTATTAATTTGTGACTCATCACTACTAGTCACTATTGTGATGCGGGAAATTACTACTTGTTGATAGTTAATTATCATCCATCTCCCCGTTTCCCCATTCAATGGATTGGCTTAAGGGAAAATCTATAGAAAACCATGGATTTTCCCATGAAATATGGGGGGTGTCCTGTAATTTTTCCCTGAACCAATCCATTGTTATTCCACTATTTGTTGACACTTAATTATCATAAATAGTAATGGCTTATGGATTGCCAATTAAATGCATCACTAAATGTTGACAGTTAATCACTCATTGGTGGTTTCAACCCCCTGAAAAATATGAAAGTCAGATTGGATCATCCTAACCTAACTATTGAATTATTGGGGGAAATAAAAGCCATGTTCCAAACCACCAACCAGATTACTATGGTCTTCCCCATTTCCCCATGAAAACCCAGCAGCTCTTCTCTACGCACCGCTGAGGCTTTGGAGGTTCGCGGCCGCGCTGGGCTCTGGCTGGGGCTCTCCTTGACGGCACCGGACTGCTGGGGGAGGTAGATTCGGTAGATGGCTGGTCGCTGGTTAGTATCCCCCATACGGGTATGGGTCAATACCTATAGATACCATTTTTAGTGGGATGAACATCCATAAATCCCAGCTATTTTGGGGTTCACTAGGTACCAGGGTTTTGACCCATCCCCATATCCAACTCGCAAGAAATGTTAGATAATCCCAACGGATGATATGGGGGGTACATACTAACCCAAATTAGAAATGTTAGATACTATCATGAGGGCTGTCTGAAAATAAAGGCATCCCTAATTCCAAGGGATTATTTATATCATCATTTTCCCCATGAAAATTGCTATTTGATGCTGGATCTATTTCGGGGTACCCCCTGGTAAACTAACATAACTATGGAAAATCACCATTTTAATGGGAAAATCCACTATAAATGGCCATTTTCAATAGCTATGTTAAATTACCAGAGGGTATACTCCTGGGTTCTAAGACACGCCCTTAGCACCGGCTCCTCTCTCCGCAGCCCTCTGTGACTTGCCGGACGCTCTCCCTGGCACCGCTTTGGACCCAGGCCTGTCCTAAGCCTCACCTGTTTATGGCGTTGGGTATACCATGCTATGCCATGCTATACCATGCTATATACCCATACTTATTACTTGGGATGATGTTTATCATGAACCCTTCTGTGGTTAATGGGATGGTTTTGCATTGGGTTTACCACAATCTCTACACCTCAAATTTCGAAAAATAGGAGGTGTGGAGTATCCAGACCTCTTGGATTTCCAGACTTTACTGGGGTATGGTGTCAACCCCGGATTAAACCCTGGTTGATTCGGGGGGCCACACCCCAAGAAGTGATGTCATCTTCCACCAATCCCTTCCCCTGCGGACCACATCTCCCGCAAACCATGGTGTGGTAACAAATTTAATCATTGGATGGGTTTAAGGGAAAATCTACAGGAAACCATGGTTTTTACCATCACATATAGGGCTTTCCTGTAAATTTTCCCATCATCCAATTCTATGATTTAAACATCTTTGGGACCATTGAAGGTTGCCTTTCATTAATGAAGGCATTAAGAGGTCCATCGCCCCATCAGAAGATATCAGAAGTCCCACCTTCAGAAGGAAGGAGTTGCAAATGGGACCTCATTTTAGAGCAATCTATGCTCTTTGAGTGGTGTTCTCCAAGTGAGAATTTGGAACGCACCACTCTTGGTATGTTTCGCCTTTTTGCATTTTGAGGCAAAATTTCTGAGTGTATTTTCCTGGGACATGAGCGTAAAAAACCTGGAAAATACGTAAATACCAGTCCATACAAATGCGTTTTTCTCGGTCAAGTGAGCATAAAAAGCCAGAATGAGCTTCAACCAGAAAATGTAATGAGCAGAAAAAAGTGCCATTTAAAGATCCATACTGCCAGACATAGAACTGAAATTTGTGGGCATGTTATACTATGTTATACTACTCAAAGAAGGACCTCCAACGATATTTACACAAAAAAACACACTCAGAACGGCAGTCATGAGCTGAAGATGCCGAGCTTCCCAGCTAGAAACATGCTTTGGAAAGATTGCGATGGAAAATCAACTCCTACTCTATCCTCACCATTGCACAAACCCTCACAGCCATCACAGCCATCACATGAGCTCAGAAACTCTTCACACCGCGGTCTGGCGGGGGTGCCAGCAAGGTCCCTTCTCCACTGATCATCGCGGTCATCGCGATCAGACGGGATCCATGGCACGTGCATTGCCCGTTGCGGCCGTTTCGCCGGCAGGGGCTGGGTCACTGTTGCTCTGATCATGTTTTCCGGGGCACTATGCGGCCTACGCAACTTACAGGGGTGAGCTAGATTCTAGACTGTGAGTGGAAATTGGTCGAAACAAAGAGCTGTCAAAAGATGGCCGTGCTAAATTTCAAAAGCTAACTTCGATGTCAAGAAAGCATCTTCACACTGCCAAGGCATATGAGATAGCCAAAAACACCTTCGGCTTTTGGATCGAATGAAAGCCGTGCCGAACCACTTTGAATTCAGCCGATGAATTCTTTCGAGCCCAGATGGAATAGGCGCAGCGTTTGCTGGCTGGATCATGAGCCAACGCCATGTCCACTGTCCAATGGGAAAACTGGCTGAATAACAAGGCCCCAAAATAAAAAACAAAATTCCCGCCCTTATGGCCTTATGGTCATCATTTACATGAAATAGTTAAATAGTTTGGAGCAACAATTGCCCACCTGCCAACCCAAAAAAAAGAAGTGAGGTGTCCCCCTTTTAAACAAACCCATCTCCAAAGCAACCTCCAGGATTCATCAGGACAGCGCTTGATCTTTAATGCCACAGACGTCTGCTGATGACACTGGTCTACCGCGGCTGAACTACAACCTGGCTCCTTCCCTTCAAACGGCGTCACAGCGTCGCGGGGATCCGGGCCACACGGCAACACTCCCCCCATGGGGAACCGTACCTGTTAAGATGCTCAGCTGACCCGAGAACTGCCCCAGTAAAAATGGAAAATTGATGGATGTTTTCTTGAAAAAAATAGGTATCATAATATATCATAATCATCCCCATTGATGAAGTTTGAAGCAGCAGCCAATGGTTCTTAGAGATGTGATTAGAGAACGATGGCCCCATAGACTGCATCCAACCCCACCGCAATGCACCGGATCCCGGCTTCACCACAATGCGCCCCCGGCAGGCACTACCCACATAGCACCCGCTGCAGCGAGCGCGGAACATCGCAGAACCCTCTCAAAGCTTGGCGTGCGCCCCATGAAGCCTCTTGATAACCTGAAGACAATGCCAGGGAGGTTTAGATCATGGTGGAGAAGTGGAGAAGATGTTTTACACGAGGTTCGAACATGTTTAGTTTCATGTTAAAAAATGTGGTCGGATTCCAGAAATCTCAAGCACTTTGTTGGAATAGGTGTTTCGGGTTGAAAACTGACTTGCCACTTAGCCATTTCCAGGACCTGATGGACCTGTCGGATGACGATGCACCAGGCGTCCCAGGCGTCCCCGCCACGTCCAGCGCTTTGACGCTCCGTGGGTCGCTGACCGCGCGCCACACCTTTTTCGCAACGACGACTGGATGCGGATGACTGGATCAAACAGATCAAACACATCTAATCAGTGAGGCCTCACTACATTGTGGTAATTCTGAAAGACAACCAACTCTTATTCAAACACCATTCTGAACCGCTAGCAATGGAAAACGGGATCTCTTCACCATACCACCAACCATATTACAGAACCACTCTTTTTTAACCATGATGAACCATTCTTAACCAGTAACCATATATTAATATATATTATAAACCACTATTTACATCTATTAACATCTATTAACATCTATTGACCATATTGTGAACCATATTATGAACCACTATATTGACCATATCATGGCCATGCCCGGTGCCCGGTGCCCCACCACAGCACCGTTTTTTTCCACGGCACCGCACCTCTTCCGCCTCCTCCTTGATGCCGCCCACCCAGCGCTTGGCGAACTCATCTGGCACGGGATGGGAGCCAAAGGGTTTCATAAAGAGTGGGTGGAACTCAGTTGTTTATGTCGCTTTATTGCGGTTTATATATGGATTTACATGGATTTATAAATTTTATAAGATGTAATTTGGTCTCAATCTCTAAGAATGGATCGAAATTATGAGCCATGAGTCTTGGTTTCCTGGATCAATGGGTCGAATTCTAGATTTGCGGATTTGGGGGCCATGTTTTTTTGCATCAAATATGCCCAAGAGATTCCCCATCTTTGACATCCTGTGATAAATTTTGTGATGCAGTGAATGGCCGCCCTGACCTGAGGAATGGCCCCTACAAGCCTGGTCATCCCCAAGCACCAGCCAGTCTGACGTTGGAGTCTGTACATCTCTAAATAAATCGATCTATCTCTAAGACTTTGACTCTATATTAGCATGTATGTATAATATATATATATATACACACATAAAACCCCACGCTAATTTCTGATGAAATCCCCCCGTCCGAAATCAATGCACCTCTCAAGTGCCTCTTGGTGATGGAAAATCCCTGGCTGGGTCTGGTGGTCAAAGAGGGTGGAGTATCTACAGTATACTCCGGTAAGACAGTTTAAGCTTCATATCTATAAATAGACATTTACTAACATCCGGAGATCAATACTCCAGATGTTCCACGGATGTTAGTAAATGTCTATTTATCCAAACATCTGGAGTATCCAAACATGTGGAGTAACCAAACTGGATACACAAACAAAAATAATCTGTTTATGATAATCATCTCAGAGCCTGATTTTGGATAAATGTGAATAATTATATCGATAAAATCGTGATGTGTGGAAAGTACATGTTCAAAGGCTTACATATATCATCATATATCTAATTGGGCATGCATGGAATTCTCCATTGAAAGATCTTGGAACCATGGCTTGCCACCACTCATGATGGCAGTCTGAATGGGCGAACCGAAAACTCCCAAACATTCCCAAGTTTTTGCCAGGCACAAAGACATACTTAGCCATCCCGATTCATGACAAGATGCAATTCTAAACGGGGATTAGATTTCCATCCATCTCCTCTTCCCCCTGATTGTTTTTTTTTCACGTGTACGTTGAAGCCTTCAACAAACCAGGAGGTTCTACAAAAAGCCAAGCATGCCGGATTCGAGGCATCGAAATCCCCTAAAAACAAACACTTAAAAAAGTGGAGTCTGATTTACCATGGTTTAAAAGGAGATATTGATTTCCCTTGTCCATCTTTTTGGGGTGTTTTTGTTCTCCCTTCCAATCCCCTCCGATCATCCGCCTGAGGAGGAAACTTCAGCCACTTCTTCAGCCGCTCCAGGGCCATGGGCAGAAGCTCCTGAGGCCCATGGGCCAAGCCATGGTTTCTGGGAGGTGTTTCATATGGGATGGGGGTGGGATAATAGTTATTAAGTTATTCGTATTGGGTTCTGGGATGATCGTTGGATTATAAAGTTGGATTGTACATGACCATATATATATATGGGTAAAATATAATATTTCACTAACCTGAATTAAGGCCACCAACTTCTTGCGGTCCCTGCCCACCCCCCGCTGACGCCAAGGGCGAACAGGTTACCTGAATTAAGGCCATTTGGGGATGATTCCCCTTACTAACCATGATTCCAGGGTTAGGTCGCAGTGAGGCCGTTATAATTTGCCCAGATATTATTTATATATATCTATCTATCTATCTATCTATCTATCTACCTATCTATCTATCTATCTATCTATCTATCTATCTATCTATCTATCTATCTATCTATCTATCTATCTCTGTGTGTGTGTGGTGAGATGGCTGAATGGAAAGTCATAGATGGCTTTTTTCCCGTGCACGTCAGGTCACGCTGAATGATGATGGGTCACATCTGTTCCCCCAAGCTCTCTATGGGAATGGTGGAATGGTGGATTCCCTGTGGGAAATCCTTCAACTTACCGGTGATTTAATGGTGATTTAATGGTGGTTTAATGGTGCTTTAATGGGATTTAGTGGGATTTACTGGTAATTTAATGGGATTTACCCTCTGGTAAAGGTTTACAGTTTGCGACATAGAAAATGGCCATAGAAATAGTGGATTTTCCCATTAATAGCATGGTGGATCTTTCCATAGTTTTTTGTATGTTTACCAGAGGGTAGCTGTAAGAATTACCGTAAAAACATTTAACCCATCAGCCAACTATTTTCTTGGAGAAATGCATCATTTCATCCCAACTTCTCCTCAAACAGCCTATCAATTCACGAAATCTGAATATCAAGTATTATTCATTATCACACAATGATCACAATGTACTTGTGTGTGTGTGCGTATCATCTAAATCAGCGTTAATCAAAAGCCAAATACATTGGGTCTATAAACAGCAAAAACACTTTCTACCCTCTGGTAATGAAACATGGCGGCAAAATTCCACAGCTTCTCGATGATTTCCCCCGTCCTCGGGCTTCTCCACGATGTCGTCCACCAATCCGATCTGCCGGAGGTCCGTGGACTGTGGCATGGAGGCAGAGAGCAGCAGATCCTCCGCAGGGTGTTGACCCGTGATCTTCATCATTAACCTGGGAAAAGCGTGGCAGTGAAGGCTCACCCCGCCAGTGGTGGCCCAGCTAGGTCAAGGAATCGGTGAGATGGCAAACTCCAACCCTTGGGCTTCATGTTGATTGAGGTTCCATCACTAACCTGGCTCTGGCAGGGGGCAGGGTGAGAAAAATTAGGGGAATTCGGCGGAATGTCTGGTTTTGTCACATAGAACTCATTTTCTGATCCGGACCAGTTGAACTTGGCTTGCGGCCGATGATCTTTGATTGAAAATCTTGTCACTGGGCTGTGTGGGTTCTCCTCGAGAGGGAAGATTATGTTCGAGCTGGAAACCACCCCAAAAGCCAATGCCAACCCTTGACGAGTTCGCCCATCTCGGAACAGTTAGGAGCAACCCTTCGGAAATGTGGGCAACTTGCCCGGTTATGTCAGCCCATGTCAGGATTCGACAAAGGGTCAGAAAATGGTGAATCAAATGGTGAATCCTGGAATCAAATATTCAACATGTCATTGTTACCATCTGGTTATTCACCCCGCTTCGCGTGGGGTGGCCGCCCACACCGCAGGTTTATTTCGGTCCGTGAGAGGGGCTAAGGGTGGTTTTCCCCCGTGGGGGCTCCCCAAGCTAAGAATTTTAACTTTCCCCCCGTGGGGGCTCCCCAAGCTAGGGAATTTTCACTTTTCCCCCCCGTGGGGGCTCCCCAAGCTAGGGAATTTTCACTTTTCCCCCCCGTGGGGGCTCCCCAAGCTAGGGAATTTTCACTTTTCCCCCCCGTGGGGGCTCCCCAAGCTAGGGAATTTTCACTTTTCCCCCCCGTGGGGGCTCCCCAAGCTAGGGAATTTTCCTTTTCCCCCCCGTGGGGGCTTCCCAAGCTAGGGAATTTTCACTTTTCCCCGCCGTGACAGCTTCCCAAGCTATGGAATTTTCACTTTTCCCTCCCTTGGAGGCTCTCCAAGCTGCGGAATTTCAAATAGCTAGACAACGACGCCTAGATAGTCCCCCAAATCCCGTGTTCTTTGAATGTGTTTCCATGTTTTTGCAATGGTTTCCTTCAAAGCACGGTACTTTACACTTTTGTCGCCATAAAACCGGTCGAAAACATCATGTTCGACAATGCTTCCAATTCCCTTATCTCCCCAACCGTTGAAAATACCGCTATTTACAGTGTTTTCTTCAATTTTTCCATGTTCCAATGCCGGTAGCCAACTCCAACATATATATAAGAAATCCTTCCAAAACATTGTTTTTGACAGTGTTTTTCCAATGTTTCCAGTCAAACAGACGGTAATTTACACGTTTTTTGCCATAAAGGCAGTAAATCCTTCCAAAACATTGCTTTTGACAGTGTTTTTGTAATGTTTCCAGTCAAGCATACGGTAATTTACACGTTTTTTGCTATAACGTCAGTCCAAAACACTTGTTTTTGCAGTGTTTTCAATGCTCTGGCATCCAAAAACCCTGCAAAATCTTGCTATGTACAATGTTTTTTTCATTTTTGGCCGTTTTTCCATTGCCGGAAAGCTACCAAAATGACCCAAAATTCCATTTCAATACCCTCTTGCGCTCAGACACCCAAAAATCCTCGAAAAATGTCGAAAACACCACCGTATTCTGGTCTCGGTGCGAAACCGTTTTTGGCCCCCCCCCCCAGCTAAAGCTGATATAGCGACTGCTATATTAACAAATGTCATTGAGCATTTAGTGTTGCTGTTTTGCCCCCCAATAAGCACGCCTTCACCGCCAAAGCGGTGTGGGCGGATTTAACATAGCCATGGAAAATCACCATTTTTGATAGGTAAACCATCTATTTCTATGGGCCAGTTTCCAATGGCCAATTGGCCAATCGGGTTTCTAGCTGTCCATGTTTTAGCGACCTCCGCACAGCTGGGGGAATCCCATGAGGCCACGTCGCTCGCACCAATTTCTTGGGACCGGGATGCCAAGCGCCACCTGCGCGGCGCTGAGGATTCTCACCTGGTTTTTACCGATGTGCCATGGTCAAAACATAAAAAAAAAGGTTCTGGTCATCCAGATTTACATCAATGTCAATCAATCAATCAATCAATCAATCAATTAATCAATCAATCAATCAATCAATGTGTTTTGATTGATGTTTTTTTCCAAACATTGATTTTGGAAAATCACCAAGCCATTTTTTTCCAAACATGTTTTTTCCAATGATTGGTTTTTGGTTTTGATGGCCATGGGAATCCAAACCACATTCCACGGGCACCGCGCAGCGTCGCAGCCTCGTTCAACCCCATGGAGCCTTCCCAGGTGATTATACGCCAATCCTTGGCGCGGCTGAGGCGAGGCGCCGTCACTGGATGCGGTCCATGGGGATGGGGTATTTTTGGAGAGCAACCCCCCAAAAGATAGAAATATAAACAGAAATGTATATATATATATACATATATATATACTATTATATATATACTATTATATATACATATATATATATATGGAGGTTTCTTAAAATGAGGGATCCCCGAGTCACCATGGGTTTCAATACTAACATGGTCTAATGACTTGGATGATTTGGCCGATTCTAGGAAACCATGGGAAACCTCCATATGTACTCCTACTGCAATTTTGATGAATGACTCTCCATCCTTTTGGGAACAACTATATATGTTCGTAGCAGTTCTGGCAGCTGTTGAAAGACAACTATGATTCTTGCGATCCTTCAGGTTTCCAAATGCGGCCGCCTTCAGGACCCCATATTTTGCATGACGCTATGAGGAAAATGTTGATAGCGTGTTTGTCTCAAGATAGGATCGCCCTCAAATCCACTGCGTAATCATATTTTTTCGCATCAGAATCACCATGTTCGGGGCTGTATTCAGTTTCAGACACACCCAAATGTCATAATGTTTTGTTGTGGTATAGTTCGCATAAGTTTTATACCTGATTTCCATGGTTAATTCCCCCATATCCATTGCCTGCTTGGTCAATTCTCGCTCATTTTTCAGTCCCTAATTTGTGGTGGTTAATTGTTAGAATCCTCATGCTTGATGGTAATTGAACCCAAAAAAAAAAGTAATGAGTTTAGGTGTTTGGGCTATCAAAAAATATGGATGTCACTCCATCATGGGCAACTCTTTGGTAGCTCCTCGATTCTCCCCCTTTTAGAGCTCCTCACCACTGGATTCTGGATAGTATGTCCAAATAACTAAACCATACTAAACATATTATGCATTAAACATCATTCAACCTCATTAAACCATATCTTCCGGGATGGTGCCCCAGTTCAAAATCGCTTAGTTGGTAAAGTTCATAACTCCAATTTCACGAGGGGTTGAATAGGGGGTAGGCTATCTAAAGATTATCGAAAGCTATGGGGATTCCCCCCCGATAATTTAACATAGCTATTGAAAATCACAATGCTTAATGATGTTTAATGGGTATATCATGGTATATCATGGTATATCATGGTATATCAGTATATAAATGACCATTTTCCATAGCAAACTAACTTAGTTTACCTTAACCGGTAGCGTTTCACACATCACCGGAGGCTGCCACCCCTGAACCAACCAACGTTGGTCCAGGATGCACAGCACATGGCCAGCGCACAGCCGCCGGCCGGGCAGGCGCCGTTGATGGCCGCTACGGTCGCCAAGCGGCTCCGGTAGATGCTGGTGAGGGTCTGATGGGACGAGGACTGGGTGACTGGGTCCTTAGGTATAGGAGAAAAATGGGGTCATACTGTAATGGATATAGCTTAAGAATCAATTGTCAATACCTATCTATCTACCTACCTACCTGTTTATCTATCTACCTATGTATCTATGTATCTATGTATCTATGTATCTATCTATGTATCTATCTATCTATCTATCTACCTACCTACCTACCTATCTACTTCTCTCTCTCTCTCTCTCTCTCTGGCTGGGCTTACCTATCTATATACTCTATAAATATTTCTCTCTCTCTCTCTCTCTCTCTGTCTGCCTGTCTGCCTGCCTGCCTGCCTGTCTGTCTGCCTGCCTATCTGTCTGTCTGTCTGCCTCTGTGCCTGTAGCGTCGGTTCATCATTTGTTATTCTTCGCTCTCATATTGCACAATAAAGAAAGGGACGGGAGAGAGCAAAAAAGAAAGTGAAGTGCGCAGTTTATGCAGAGGTCGAGGGACCATCGTTTTACCCTTCAATTGCGATGTTTATCCCAAAAAAGAAACCGGTAAACCATCAAATTGTGCACGTTTCCCATCGCTTTCAGACAAATCATCTCATCCAGTGATTCGGAAAAAAATGGCACTGATCACTGATCATCACCGAACTTTTGTGTTCCCATCACTTCGAAAAGCTTAGGTTGGCCTGAGTCAAGGTGGTCCAGAAGTCCTTCAACCTCTCCTCGCGCTGCGCTGATGGCTTTCTGCTATCGAAAATGGCCATAGAATTTACCTATTTAAAATGGTGATTTTCCATAGTTGCATAGCTATGTTAGCTTACTGCTAGGGGGTCAGTTTCCTGGCAAAAATCCATCCCCTTGCGATTTTTCAGCACTTTATCTGAGGTTTCGCCGGGATCCCATGGTTTTTCCCATGAATGATGGAGGCTTCCGAAGTGGGCTTTCCATGAAACCACTCCATTGATTTACCATCTGACTAACAGTTCGCCATGGTTTTTCGATGGCCCTAATCGAAATAGATGGTAAACACCGTTCTTAATAGCATGGTGGATCTTTCCATCGCAAACTCTTAGTCATAACCAGAGGGTACCGTTTTTTCGATTGGATGACCGGATGAGCGCCTCGCTGGTGGATGGCGCGTACAACTCATTGATGTCGAGGCCTGCAGTGAAGATGTTCCTCCAGTCGTGGCGCAGGGGAGTCGCTGATATCTCTCTCCAGCGCCATCTCTCAAGGTCAGCGAGTATCACTGTTGATTATGTTTTTTCTGGGTCATGGTTGGCTAATATTATGATTCATTATTGTTAGTTGCTCATTGTGATTATCAAATAATACATGGGATTATTACAAATAATCTGATTTATCTGTTTATTCTCCCGTCTGCTATTTGGATAACCATTTGTATTTCTTTGTATTTCAATAGTAGTCCTATTTGAAACACTTGGTCATTATGGGGCCCGGGGGCATATTTGAGGTACTTGTCATCCGGCGTTTCAGTTTGACAACTGGTTGATCCAGGGCGATCGTCATCTCCGCTCTTTAAAGTTGCCATAACTGGGGCGCAAAGTTACCTCGTTTTCAGACACATGTTTGACCAACATACATGGGGGAAGATTTCCCACCATTGGTGGTTTGGAACATGTTTTATTTTCCATTTCATGTATGGAAGGTCATCCTTCCCATTGACGAACTCCATCATTGTTCAAGATGGTTATTGCACCACCAAGCAGAAAACGAGAAAATCTGAGATTCCCATGGGAACATTTCGAAGATGTTGGAGATCTGACCATGCTGAATCCACCACTTGGGAATCCTGGATCCTGATCATCCGCATAGCCAACAGGGGAGTTCTACAACTCCCCACTGGAGGGGATGGCATCAGTTTCCTTATTAGATGGCCTTAAACATCAGACCCAGTTGGCGATCAACCCTCCGTCATTTTGAAAACCCCAAGCGACCTATGAAGGAAACAGTTCTTCTCCAGAAAAACGAAAGAACAAAAAAAAACGAAACAGTTGAGTTGTCCCCGCAGTCACGATTCTACCTCCAGAAAACTCACATATGGATTTGCCATGTGTTGATCAATTTCTTCAATGCCCATGAAAAACACACGTCCATGGGGATTGTCATCCCGTTTCTAGGATGAAAAATGTGTACAAAATAGACCAAAACCACCAACCAGATCATCATTGGTGGTATAAACCCAGTTCAGTTTTTAAAAAAATTGCAACATATGGTCAAATCTGCAAAAGCCCATGTTCGTTACCAAAAGACCCATGAATTCCATGGTTTATTAATGTGTTGTTTTTCTGTAAAATGGCATCGACAAATCGCTCCAGCGCCCAGCGGCTTCTTCAGGGTCGACTGGAAGACCACGCCGCGGATCGTCTTGTCCGCCTCAGCTGCCTGGAGCGCTGGTGGTTTAATGGTGGTTTAGTGGTGGTTTAATGGTGATTTAATGGTGAATGGAAATGTCAAAAGATCATCGCTAAAACGGGAATATGAAAATCATACAAATGTATGTGCGTGCATGTTTTTATGTGCACGTATAAGAAACCCCACTAGTGGGAATGAAGAGCCAACATTGGGGGTCCGTATAAATAACATGGATACTTACCGCAATATTTACCTAGTATACTTTTGTTTTATCAGTCTTATCGTTCTATTTATCTGTTGGTTTCCTGATAAGTTTACATGCATAGGTCATGTCTGTTGTGTGTATATACACATATGTAGGCGTGTGCGTATACATATGCACCATCGTATCTGTGGAATCGATCTATCTATATCATTCTATATCTATCTGTCTGTCTGTCTGTCTGTCTATCTATCTGTCTATCTTTCTATCTATCTGTGTGCGTTATATAAACTCTTGATTTGCTACTCTTCCTGCGTTCTACTCACAAATTATACAAACACATGTGGATCACATTTGGATTGGATGAATAAAATCACCCACAATTCCGAACATTGCAGCTTCGCAAACCTCGCAAAGCCACAAATTGTTTTTGCGTCGGTTTCCGCAAGCCATGCCTATATTACCCGACACATCTCGTGTCAAGCTCCGAGACTCGACTGACATCATCGGCTGCCAAAAAAATGGATCACACATACCTACCATCTGGTTATGACTAACAGTTAGCCATGGAAAGATCCACCATGCTATTAAGAACGGTGTTTACCATCTATTTCGATTAGGGCCATCGATATATACCATGGCGAACTTTTTTTGTCATAACCAGATGGTAGTGGTTGGGTGATCCCCATCTCCAACTCCCAGAATGGTTTGAGGGAAAAAAAAAATCTGCAGAGCACCATGGACCAGCGCCTCAAAGGTGGATTTCAAGGCTTTCCAGAAGTCCAGATTCATACCTCGGTAAGTCAACTGATCAAAAGTTGCAGATGTAGATCTGTTTAAAGGTACAGTTTACAGAAACACAATCTATCAATAAAATCAATAAAGATGAAACTAGATATTCCACCAAAAAAAAAATCGACTAGCAATGGAATAATGAATTTTAATGGATATCAAATATCAAACAGCGACTCCCAAGTCCATCTGTGACCAGCGGCTGTTCACCGGCTCCTTGTTGAACGAGATGACAGCAATGCCCTTGGCATCTTCCAGCTTTTCCTGGAAGAAACGGAGAAACATCCGAGAGAATAGTGCGATGTTTGGGCTGGGAACAGCGAAAAAGTTGCGTTTTGATGGTTTTTTGTGCCCAAAAAAAGTTGTCTGGAGTGGTGTTTTGAAGCAGGAAAAATTATCTTACTTCTTTTGGAGGTTGGAAGCATGTGGAAAAGAGATGGGAGAAGTTCCTGCCAGGAGGTGTCGTTTGGGAAACTCTAGGGTTACCCTCTGGCGTCAGAATCCCCGATGTCCAAATCGAGCTTTGTACCCTCTGGTTATTTAACATAGCCATGGAAGCCATGGCCCATTTATAGATGGTTTGCCATGGTTTACCTATTAAAAATGTTGGATCTTTCCATGGCAAACTGTTAGTCATAACCAGATGGCAACTGGAAAATCTCATCCATTAAGGGTCAACCTGTTAAACCTGGAGAGAACATCTACAATGCCGTTACCCGACTTGGTAAACGTTTACAGTTTGCGACATAGAAAATGGCCCAGTCGAAATAGTGGATTTACCCATCAAAAATGGTGATTTTCCATAGTTATGTTAGTTTAGTAGAGGGTATCTATATAATGATACATACTAAATGGTCATCTTGACATCCTCGACCAATAGTGTCCATGCTGAGGACGTGAATACATGCCGACCTATCAGACTTACAGGGGGGTTTTGTTGGTGCACGTTAGTCTTATATAATAGGAAAGTGATAATCACTAACATACTAACAGTTACTAACATACACCAATGGATATATGATTGACATGTTCGTATTATATCGCTAATATAGATATAATTTATAATATTTATGGGCAATCATGCCATTGCAAGGCTAGATAAGGAGCTGTGTAGTGAAGCCGAGATGCCAAGGTCACGGGCATTGCCAAGGCGCAACAGCGGGAAGGCGCAACGGTGCAGAACGGTGCTTGAGGGGAGTTCCAGCTGAAACTCGACGTCTTCAACGTCATCTTGGGGGGTGGAAACCCAAACAAAATCGGCAATGGATTGGTTTACGGTTTAAGGGAAATATTACAGGAAACCCCCATATTTAATGGTAGAAACCATGGTTTCCGGTGTAGATTTTCCCTTAAACCCATCCATTTACCCAAGGTTTCAATCCCATGTAGATATTCCCAAAATCCCAACATCACCCGAAATCCCAACATCACCGGATTGCTTTGACCCCGTGTGAATAAGTGATTGAAATTTATAGAGGTCATAAAAACAGTAACTGCCATGGTCAGTTGCTACCAGTGGGGCAAAATGTGGAGCTATGGTCACCCATCCCTTGGATAATCCTTATGGATTGATGACTATCCCGGCTATGGCACATTCGGGAATACCCGACCCGGTAAACGTTTACAGTTTGCGACATTGAAAATTGCCATTTATAGTGGATTTACCCATGAATAGCATGGTGATTTTCCATAGTTACGTTAGTTTACCAGAGGGAATAGTTCATGTAGTTTATTACCTTAATCCCAACCATCATTCCAATGAGGTCGCAGTCAGGTGTTGATCACAGAATTCCAGAGGGTTGATCATCACTCTCCTCATTGAAATTGCCAAAAATCATACGCTGGGTACATCCAAAATGGGCCTTTGGGGACAATCCCCAAAAATCGTGGCAATGGAAAATCCAATCGTTCATAGGACAATCAGCCCTAAAAATTGCCTCGGCCAGGTGATTCAAAATCCCAGTCAAGTGATGTTAAATTTGCTAAATCATATGAAATCATATCAAATCCCCGTGTCGGTGTTGCTGAACGCCCCAAACTTTTGTTGCTTAAATCATGTTGAATCCCGGTTGCTTGGTTCTATGCTGATCATTATTGATTCAACCAGGTGCCCGTGGACCGTTGGACCGTGATCCTTTGTTGCTCTGTCTGGTCATGTCTGGTCTGTCCTGTCTGACCACGGCTTCTGGCGGTCAAATTGGCCCAACGCTTTCGCACGGCTTCAAGAGATCTCATCAACTCCTTGAGTTTTGGCCAAACTTGCGCCTGAACACACTTGCCAGTCTTAGGCTGGTCTTCCATGCGTATACATACTGTAGAGTCTGTAGAGGCATCTTGGACGCGCTGGCAAGAAACAATCACAGTTTGGGCACCCAGATGAACCTCAAATAATTAGTTCCTAAACACATTGTGTTTAGCCCTCAAATATGGTATCATAGGTCTTGAATCTGTTTTTTTTTGTTTTGACTTTTGACCCAACCGGAATCTTCCCATCACAATTAGAAGAGCCGTGCAAACGTCGAGAGTCCGAAGAAATGGACCCTGTGCGCCATGGGCCGCTCAATGACAAAACGTCAGGAGCCCTGGCCACAGGGGAAGTCTCGTGGGGCGATCAAGCCACTGTCATTAAAATGACATGGAAAAGAGCGACACAGCAGGCTTCAGTTCAACAAAAACCTGAAAAAAAAAGCCAGAAGAAAGTTAGCTTCATTCTCCAATTTTTCCATGGTTGATGTTCATAAGATGACCCTGTTGGGGTCCAGCCTCTTCCAGCTTCGCAAACACATAACTACAACTCAAACCTGCCGCGCAGGGACGGGTATCCTGAACGGATCTTCCAGTATCAACAAGTCCGACTGCGAGGAAGGCAGCTTTCTGACCCATGTTCGGTCGCGTACGGTAGCCACTTTGGTGACAACTTCGCTAATCAAGACCCCAACGCCAGACGTTTGGTGACAAAGACCGCGCATGACAAGCCTACCCAATTCCAAAACTCATCAACGAGATGCACCAATACACCAAGAATGAGTGAACAAACCAAGGTTCTACGGAACAAACCTTCAGGATCCTTCAGGAATGTTAACCCGGCAATATATAATCAACCCTCAGTTTATCAGTAGGGAGTACCAATCAACATGCTGTTTGGGTTTTATCTGGGGCTGACATTCCCGGTGAAGCTCCATGTTTTCAGGGTGAGGCCCTATAGCCCATCACTCAGATCCCTGCTCCCTCGCATTCAGAGCGCCAAACACTTGACCAGGTGGGCCCCAGTCAACGAGTGGCCAATGGTTGACCAAAGATGGCCCATCATGACCTGGATAAAGTCTCTAATGTCAGTCAAGAAGTAATAAATCAATATATATAAATCACCCATATTTTGATGGTTTATAACATCCATTTTTTCTGGGAAACTTGTTGCTTTACCCACTTTACCAGGATGTCTTTTGGTGCTGGTGGATTGGTGTTTCTGTAGCACCCCTGCCACAATTCCCTCCTGAAAAACTCGGAAGTTCGGTCGCACCAAAACCACCAGCCTCTGGTAATTTCACATGGCAATGGACAATCCCAACTACCTCTGGTAAACTGACATAACTATGGAAAATCACCATGTTCAATGGGTAAATCCACTATTTCTATGGTCATGTTCAATAGCTATGTTAGTCATTACCAGAGGGTATTCCAAAAGGTGACATCTATAAATGGATGATGTCCTATTGTCAGGTTTTTCATTACCAAACGCTAATCATTGGCAGGGCATTTCACATTGCTGTTCCCTACATTCGGAGGCAATACTCAGGACGATCATTGGTGGTGCGGATCCTGAACTCCCAACTGAACGTGGCCTGTTATCCCAAAAAAATACGAAAAAGCTGGGTGTGGCTACTTTTTTGAGTAGACCCAATCATAAACCCATACCCAATATTGATTTTTCTTTGGGTGTTTTCACCACTCCGAAATGGTAGGTTTATGATGGTTTATGGCATTGGGTTTGACGCATTCTTTGGTGTACCAGTTGACTACCCCTTTTTTGCAGCCACATGATATGGGTCTGGATCAATACCTATTAATACCATTTTTAGTGGGATGAACATCCATTTCCAGCTATTTTGATGTTCACCAGGGGTACAAGGTTTTGACACACTGCCATATCGTTGTCACCCGGGACCCACTGGTGAGGCTGCAGCTTCCGCTGCTCAGAATTGCTTCTCAGTGACGCCTGCGGACATGATGCCTGGCAGTTTGCCACTCGAGTTTGCCGCTCCCAAAGTCGTGACTTCTTGTTTTTCCGAAACAATTTAGGTGAGCCTCTGGTAATTTAACATAGCGAACTAGAAAATTGCCTTATGTAAAAGGTAAACCATCCATTTCTATGGGCCATGGCTTCCATAGCTTTTTGTATGTTTACCAGAGGGTAAACCTCCATTTTCCTATGTTTTGCCTATGATTTTCCCATGGTTTTCCTATGATTTTTCCCATTTTCCTTATGGTTTTCCTATGGTTTACCCATGATTTTCCCATTTTCCTATGGTTTTCCTATGGTTTACCCATGATTTTCCCATTTTCCTTATGGTTTTCCTATGGTTTACCAGAGGCTAACCTTGATTAAGCCATCCCCGGTGTTACGTTGGTGACAACTTCCGCGGCCGCGCACCGGGTGACACCTGTGGATGAGAGGCCACCGCTGACCACGTTGCCCATCTCGTCGACGATCTCGGAGCCACTCCTGGGTAACAAACAACGCATGGCCAGGTTCCCATCGGGTCATGGTTAATGGTTAATAATGATGGTTAAACAATGTTAAACCTCATGTTGATTAATAGTGGTTGAACCAATTATCAACATTGGTATAATAGTGGTTAATGATGGTTAATAGTGGTTAATGATGGTTAATAGTGGTATATTATATACTGGGTAATCACATTTAGTCACTATAATTTGTAAATTATGGGATTATAATGGGATAAATCTGATAAATCATGGTTAATATTGGTTAATGATGGTTGATAATGGTTAATGATGGTTAATGATGGTTAATCATTGGTATATTATTTAATGGTGATATACTTGATATACCCTCTGGGTATCATGATCAGATCTCTGAAAGAATCCCTATCTTCCCATGAAAGTGCGTCGTTCTTGTCCTATATAAACTCATCACCTCAAGTGATGTTCGCGTCTGTCCTTTTTCAACGGGATAATCCTAGGATTTTTTGCATCGAGCAGATTCCTTTGGAGGATATCATTGGGATATACCCTCTGGTAGCCGTGGAAAATCACCATGTTTATGTAATATAGGTACCCTCTGGTTATGACTAGCAGTTCGCCATGGAAAATCCCCATTTTTAATAGGTAAACCATCTATTTCTATGGGCCATCTATACCATGGCGAACTGTTAGTCATAACCAGAGGGTAAATCATCGAATTAAATGGGCCCTCGTAAGTCCTGAACTTGGGGGGAAAGGATGAAACATATTTATATAAGCTTATATAGATATAGTCTGATATAGTAGATACATGTAGATACGTAGATACGGATACAAATACAGATATAAATATATTTTATAGATATTTATATATATATATAGATATTTAATGATATTTAGATATTATATATATATAATAGAGAGAGAGAGATCATATGGATTGAGTCGAGCCGGGCAAATGTTCACCGATTTGGTGCCCAGGGGCCACTTCTGATGAGTCAAGGTCTCCACCTGCCGATGAAATCTCCCGAAACCTCCCTCCCGTGGTTTGTAAATGAAAGAGACTGCTAGGAATCATTAAGGAAACCCAAAAAAAAAACAGAAAAAAAAAACTATTTACTGTTACAGTGTGTTCTCATGTTTTATCACATTTTATAACTATCCGTTGATTCAGCTGTTTCCAGGTATGTGTGTATCGAATCTAGTCGGGTCAAAAAGGTGATCTAGGTTATACATGCACATTATACATGCAAGTGGGTATGGTTTTTTCTTAGAATATGATCATCCTGAAGTAGATAGAACATGGAAAGTTCAAAAACAACTCACTAAATTGAACACGTGGTTGATTTATCGAAAAATCTACCTACCCTCCGGAAAACAAACATGGCAACGGAGAATTCCCAATTGTATATAGATGATGTTCCGATGTTCCCATTAAACTTCCATTCAAATTGGGGATTTTCCATTGTTATGTTAGTTTACTGGAGGGTACCTAGCGTACTTGCCAAAATCCGCCATACTTAGAAAATCGCATACTCTATCCACTTCAGGATGGTTATAACTATGACTTCAACGGCGAATTTCCCCAGTTCGATGATGTTCCCGCACTGGTCACCTTTCCGAACGGGCACGGCGCGGCTCACCTTGTTCTTGCGTTCCTCACGTTGGATCATAGAGACATAGGCATAGGCACCGCGCGCGGCGTACTCCTTGGCCGGCCAGGTCGGTCGAAAAATGTGGGGGGAATGCGTTGGTTTTCACCGGTTTTCACATGAAAATCGCTGGGATTCCATGAATGTTACTGCACTGAGTCAGGCCGCAGATCAAATGACCAGTTGGTCCATGGATTTCAAGTTTCACCATGTTTCACCAACTGGTCAGATCAGATTTGATCCTCCTGAAGCCTGAAAGTTCCTCCATTAGGAAAATTGGAGATGCAATAGGGATTCCATGGTCAAAAGTCTTGAGCACCTGAAATTAATCGGAGATGTGGATAGATGTGGTCCCATCTTGGTTTCCAGGGAGTTCCGGTATCTGAAAACCCTTCAAGCCATTTCTGAAAACTGGAAATCCATGGGGAAAAAACTTTAACAAACTGAAACCGAATGTAAGAGCTTCAAAGATTCCATGGAAATGGTTGCCTTTGTTCCAAAGATGTTGAACTCAAATTAGGTCCTCTTCAAAAATCAGTTATCCAGTAAGTAAACGTGTCCCATGGCATGTCCCCATCTGCCAACGTTCCCTGCTGTGCCTTGGCAAAGAGATCAATGCTCAGGGCATCGCAGTGGAAGCCAGCCAAGGTGATGAACTGCCAGCAGAAGCCCAACTTGGCCTTGGGTCACGGCTGGGTCATCGCCATGGGGCCGTTGCCCAGCTGGCTCCAACAGGGCACCCTGTTAACCTAAAACTGGCCGACTGAGAGACGGACCGATGGTCCCTTCAAGTCTTACTAAGGATTTAAGATACAAGCGTCTTTTCAAACAAAATTATAAGTCTATATGTGGTTTTCCTACAGTTTCCCCCTGTTCATCCAAAATCTGCCAAATTATGTAAATAGATGTAAATAGACTAGTGACTAAATAGATGTAAATAGACCACACGTTGATGGTATGAGTGAGGTAACTCTGTAGCCACCGGGGGCCTTGACCAAGGTGCCAAATCCCAAATGAAGGACTCCATCTGCGCATCTGTCATGCCGGCGCCTTGGGTTTGCAGAAGAGTGGGCTGTGGGAGTTCTGAAAACCCCAGCCACCCCTCACAGACTCGCAGAAGGGACGGGGGTCACATTCGCCCCTACCCCAGGGGTCACATTCGCCCCTACCCCACTATCCTTTCCATTGAATGTGTCATTCAACCTTTTAGGGTTTGACCTGGGGACACGGGACATTTAGGGGGGGTCTTGGGGACATTTAGGGGGGACTTGGGGACATTTAGGGGGGACTTGGGAACATTGGTTAAGTCACTTGCCTCACTATTGAATATGTCATTCAACCTTTTAAAATTTACAGGAAAAAGGCTCGCGCCCAGAGTGAGCACCCTGATCAAGCACCCGCCTGTACACTTACCGTAAGAACCCCTCAGTGTGGACACACTGTTTGGGGGAAAAAAGTTGAACAGGGAGCTCATATACTTAAAAACACCACATCTTTCGCCAAGCATCTGTCCCAGTTGAAGGAGGGACTCAGGTTGTAGGCCAACATCTGATGGGGCACCGCGGCACGCACTTCCTTTCTTGGCACGTGGCTGAATTTCCCCATGTCTTTTCCGAGAAAAATCCATGAAAATCATCTAGGTTCTTTCATGGTTTAATCCTATCATGAATCTAAGTTTTGGTAAATTCCACTATCTAGTACAATGATTTTGGGATAGGCAAATCCTGAAGACTCCAGATCAACGATGATCAACGATGTGGATTCTCCATTGCCCGCGATTTCCGGAGGATTCTGCTACCGCACCGCCAGAGTTCCCTCCAAAACCCCAAAGAGGCCTGGGCAAACTGCGTGGCTTGTGCCAAGATGGGCTTACCTGTCTCCATCCAAATGCAGTCCTCCCAGCCATTGAGGCCATTGAGGCCAGAAATGATTTGAATGCCTAGCTGGGTAACCTTTCATTCTGATCAGAACATTAGTTATAGTTGCCATTTATTACCTGACTATAACACTGAAATCCAGTGTTACTGGTGATAAATTCATGTTCTATCTGTTTTTTGTGGTTTCATTATGGAAAATTGAGGCAAGTTCCGAGGCAAGTTCCAAGGTCCGGGGTGCTTCACTGCTGTAACCAACTACCGGGGATACGGCACCAGCATTTTTAAAGGGTGAAAACGGCCAATTGGATTTTAATGTTCCACCCTCCAGTAAACTAACAGTTTGCTATGGAAAATGAATCCTCTCTCTATATTATATATATATATTGTGTGTGTGTGTGCGTGTGCGTGATTTGGATTGATTTAGCTGTTAAACTAGTAATTTCCATAGCTATGTTAGTTTATGTTAGTTTATGTTAGTTTACCCAAGGCTACTGACATTTATGCCTTGTTGCTTGCTAGATCTAAACCCCCGTCTCCAACCGTCTCCCAGCGCGCTCCGCATAGGGGGCGAAGGCAATGGCACGTTCGATGCAGAACTCCGTGGAACCCTTGATGCGATAGTAGCCCTCGACCTCGGTACTGGCCTAACATGGAAGGATTTAAAGCTGGACATACTGTGGAAGAAATCATAAGAAATCCATGGTATGCATATTATATGTGTATATATATATGTGTGTGTGTATATGTATATGTATGACTATATGTAGTTTAGTTAGATGTGGGGAAATCAGAATGGGTGTGAAATAGTTTTAGGATTTTTTTTGAACAGGTTTGGGATTTTTTTTTGGATTTCTTGGCTGGTACCATTTGCCTAGTGTTTGCAACGGTTTGGAACTTGAATTTGTCATTTTGCATGGTATTTGCAACATTTGGGCATGTTCACCTTCCATTTTGCATGGGATTTACTACATGTGGGCATGTTCACCTTCCATTTTGTATGGTATTTGCCACATTTTGGCATGTTCACCTTCCATTTTGCATGGGATTTCCTACATGTGGGCATGTTCACCGTCCAATTTGTATGGTATTTGCCACATTTTGGCATGTTCACCTTCCATTTTGCATGGGATGTTCTACATGTGAGCATGTTCACCCAAATATTTACAGATGCGGAAGCTTGGGATTAGATAAAAAGCGGGTGGGGGGATTGAGGGACGGCGCTAGCTATCTATCCAGCTAGCTAGCTATCTAGCTATCTAGCTAGCTATCTATCTAGCAAGCTAGCTATCTATCTAGCAAGCTATCTATCTATCTAGCTATATCTATCTACCTATCTAGCTATCTAGCTAACTATCTATCTATCTATCTATCTATCTGTCTGTCTAGCTATCTATCTATCTAGCCATCCAGCTGTCTGTCCAGCTATCTAGCTATCGCTATCTAGCTATCGAGCTATCTAGCTAACTATCTATCTAGCTATCTAGCTATCTAGCTTTGTATCTATCTAGCTATCTATCTATCTAGCCATCCAGCTGTCTATCCAGCTATCTAGCTATCGAGCTATCTATCTATCTATCTATCTAGCTAACTATCTACCTATCTATTTAGCTATCTATCTATCTATCTATCTATCTATCTATCTATCTATCTAGCTATCTATCTAGCTACCTCTTTATCTATCTAGCTAGCTATCTATCTATCTAGCTATCTATCTAGCCATCTATCTATCTAGCTATCTATCTAGCCATCTATCTATCGAGGTATCTAGCTATCTATCACTCTAGCTATCTATCTATCTAGCTGGCTATCTATCTATCTAGCTATCTATCTACCAAGCTATCTATCTATCCAGCTATCTATCTATCTATCTATCTATCTATCTATCTATCTATCTATCTATCTATCTATCACATGTAATCCTGTCAGCTTTCCAGAGAAGGTTAGTTCGCAAAAACCAACTAATGTAACTTGGGTTTAAGATTAAATAAAAAAAAAGCGGGAGGGGGGGATTGGGGGAGGGCGCAGCGCCTCCCCCCAAAGCAGAATGCAAGCACCTCTTCTCACATGTTACGTTGCTAGTTTTCAAGAGAAGGTTGGTCATGTGATACTCAGGGATGTAAATACTGTGCAAAATGCATCTGACATGAAAATCAAGTATTTAAATTTAAAGCAGGCAAAGCAAAAAAAAAAGAGCAGAGAAGCAAAGAAACAGGAAACGCACAAAAGCAAAACAGCAGAAAGGCAAAGAAGCAGGAAAAGCAGAAAAGCAGAGAAGCAGGAAAAGCAGGAAAAGCAGAGAAGCAAAGAAACAGGAAAAACAGAAAAGCAAAAAAGCAGAAAAGCAGAGAAGCAGAGAAGCAGGAGAAGCAGAAAAGCAAAAAAGCAGAAAAGCAGAGAAGCAGAGAAGCAGGAGAAGCAGAAAAGCAAAAAAGCAGAAAAGCAGAGAAGCAGGAAAAGCAGGAAAAGCAGGAAAAGCAGGAAAAGCAGGAAAAGCAGGAAAAGCAGGAAAGCAGGAAAGCAGAGCAGGAAAAGCAGGAAAAGCAGAGAAGCAGGAATCCAAAAATAATTCCTAAACCTGATCAAAAAAAAAATCCTAAAATAATTAGCCCTCCAATCAGAATTAACTATTATATAACTAAATTTATGGTGGACGTATGGGGGGTTCCTATCATAAGGGTACCCCAAACCGTTGTTTTTCCCACTGATAATAACCAATTTTGGATGATTTGGGGGTACTGTGAAGGCCAAAGTTGACTAACATCTATGGTGGATATATCTTTCATTAGATGGGAGTATAAGCTATCAAGACCCTTATGACAAGGCCCTTCTTGTATGGTCTATCATGACTTTCGAGAGCAGTCTTCTGTTGGGGGGTGCCCGGGTGCCTGTGTGCCCGTGGATCGTGAGGAGACCTATCCGGACTTTCCCATAGTTACATATAGTTGCCCATGTCTAGGGGAGAGGTATAACATGGTATAACATGGTATAACATGGTATAACATGGTATAACATGGTATAACCACAGCCATTTGGACACTCCATTCGCCATACCCATCGGCCATCACCGCTCTGTGCTGGTCCCAATGTCCCAACCGAAGACTCTGGGCTTCCCCTGCGGAGCGTGCGGAATCCCAGTCGAAGAAAACATCCAGACCCATGTCAGAGGCAGCTTTCCTGGCGAAGGCAGCATGCTGTGCCGCGAAACAATCCACCAAATCCACAAGATCCGTTGTGTCTCACAGTGTCAGACTCAATTGCAACCAAAAAGAGAGAGCGTGAAATGACCCAGGGGCATCTTTTGATATCTTTTGCCTGAAATGTCTGGTCACTTTGTTTCCTCTCCGTTTTCGTTGCTCCATTGGAGATCATCCCTGGTTTCAAGCCATCAACATCCATCAACCCCCAAAACATCGGCTGACAAGGGATGCATCCCTCGGGTCATGACTTCTCTCCGGATCTGTTGGGAAATATTTTTGGAGTCATAGAGTGGAATGATGTGGCATGGTTATCATGGTTCGGAAAAAATTGGGTTTTTCCCATATGATTCATATAAACATACATAAGCCTGAGCATTTTTCACATGGTTCCAAGATGATTCTCCCGCCCTTTTTGAATTTCGGCAATGGCATGCAATGGCCTCATCTGGTCAATGGACATCTTGCGAGAGTCCTGACGGCTTGACGCTCGGCCGGGTCCATGGTTCCAGCTGGTTCCAGCTGGTTCTGCCCCGTCCTTCAGCCACTGGGCGGCGTCCTTGCCCTTGGCCTTCAACTCCTGCCGAAGGCAAGGAACCCAGGGACCCAGGGAGCCATCCCCATCACATAAGAAGAACCACAAGTGGTTCACTATCTCCATCATCCCAGGGCATCCCTGGCAGTTTCGACACCACGACACCACATTTTTTTGGATCAGGCACTTCTGGCAGTGAACCCACGGCCTCTCCCAGGTGCCGTCCTTGGCCACAGCCTCAGGGAAGGTCATGCAGCCTGCGCGCTGTTCCCAGTCCTTGTCGGTGCCCTTGCGCATGGCCTGGCGATTCGACACCAAGGGGAGCGCCTTGGAGTGTGACCCCGAAGGTTTCGCACCTCGAAGAGTGGCTCCGCTCCCTTGACCTCAGCTGCAAAACAACACCACAACAATAGGTACCTCTGGTGAGGCCCCCGTTTACGATAGCTAAGTTGGTGAACATAACTCCAATAACTATATGGTTTATGGTACCTATAACTATAGTATTCATGGGGTTTATAAACCATCCTATAACTGGGGGGCCCCACATTGTACCCTCTGGTAATCAAACGTGGCTGGCTGGAAAATCCTCTTAGTTCGATGATTTTAATGATTTTCCCACTAAACCCTCCATAGTGGATTTCTTATGGCCATCTTTGATTACCAGAGGGTAGAAAAGTTTGACACCTGGAAGCTATAACGGGATCGTCTTTCCCAACATATCCCAACATTCTGGGAGGGAAAAAATCCACCTCAACCCCTGAGGAAGCGACGGTGACACCCTTGATGTGCGGATGGTCAATGGGATCCTGGGTGCGAAGCCACTGAACTGATGTGTTTCGCCCCTCAAAAGGGGGTCAGCTTTCAACCATTGTCAATGGGGGGCCGATCAGTTTATACATCTGATGAATCATCATGAATCTATCTTCAAAATTCATGGATTCAAAGTGTCAAGAAACTGACTGTTGCTAGCGATAAAAACACAATGAACGTGATACAAATCATCTTCCAGCCCTGTTTTTTTCGATTACCTGCCAGATCAACAATAGAGGAGGCCGATCTGGGCTACGATTTCTCATCATTTCCATAGTCTTAAGCCTCTGTCAACTAGTGGGAAAGGGACATCTATATAATCGGGATGACTTGGGAGGCGTCTGCAGGAAACCACAAGGTTTCGAGGGGTTTGCGGTATGAATTGTCCCTTCAACTCTTCAACCCTTCCAATGAATCTATGTTTGTGAAAAAAACGGAAGTGGCACCATCAACTCATAGAATTGGATGATGGGAAAATTTTAACCGGAAAGCCCTGTATTTGATGGTTTTACCACCATGGTTTCCGGTTAAGATTTTCCCGTCAAAACCAATCCAATGATCAACATATCAACAGATTGTTAAAAAACAATGGAAGAATCCGCCAGGTCGTGTAACCTTCGGGTCAGCAGATGACAGGGTGCTCAAAATTCTGATGATGGGTTGGTATGACCCCAAATTCCAATCGTTTCCCCAAAATTGCGAGTTGGGTGGTGGTCTGTACCCTCTGGTTACCCTCTGGTAATTTAACGTAGCTATTGAAAATGACCATTAATAGTGGATTTTCCCATTAAAAATGGTGATTTTCAATAGCTATGTTAAATTACCAGAGGGTATCAAACATGGCTGGAAAATCCCTGAACTAAATGAAGGTTTAGTTAAGGTTTATAGCTGGTAAAGTCATCGAAGTAGATGGTGGAATTTCCAGCCAGTCATGTTTGATTATATACTGGAAGGTAACACATCGGATTATAGATAGATCATGATGGATCATCAATATTGTTGTCACTGAGTTATGTGGTAAACCCAATGAAAAACTATCCCGTTAACCAACAATAGGATCAATGAGGGGGGGGCATTTTACCTCAACCTCATATAGTGGGGATGGTGCCATTAAATCCCATTAAATCCCTTCCATTCAACCTCTGTTTCCACTGGATTCCACTGGTGAAAATCCCAGGAAATCCCATCATTTTTCTTGGTACCCTCTGGTAATGACTGTTACATAGCTATTGAAAATTGCCATTTAGTTCGTTGATTTACATTGATTTACCCATTAAAAAATATTAAAAATACTGGTGTTCCACAGTTTTTTGTATGTTTACCAGTTGCCATTCATGGTTCCCACCTGATCCGCCGGGTGACGATGTTGGAGTCGATCATGGTGGCCGCCTCCGCATCAGTGCGCGCCACCAGGACCAGGGGCGAGTTCAGCACATCGGCCTGGGAAGAGCTCGGACGGCCATTCCCAGTGGGATACACTAAGGATCCACTGATATCCATTCTCTATGACTTGTATTTCATTGGATTGGTTTTCACGGGAAAATCTTAACCGGAAACCATGGTGGTAAAAACCATCAAATATAGGGCTTTCCAGTTAAAATTGTCCCATCATCCAATTCTATGAGTATTGTCTAAATACAACTCTGATCAATATGAAATATATAGAATCAATAGGGATATTTATGGGCAATACCCTCTGGTAAACTAACAGTTTGCTATTGAAAATTGTCATAGAAAGTTCGTTGATTTATCCCTGAAGAACGGTGATTTTCCATACGTATGTTAGTTTACCGGAGGGTATCTATGACTTGGATTTAGCTGTCTTAATACAACTATGATCAATATGAAATTTAGAATTATAAATGAGCCAACATGATGTGAAAACCATAGGATCATGGGACACTTTCGGGGGAAATTCGTGATTTTCTTTGATGCTTTGCTCATCCTTGCTGATTATGTGACCATCCCCAGTAAGAAAATCACCTAAAATTGAAACTGACGAATATTCGATCTACTCCCAGATTGGCAACTCCCGTTTTTTAATGCAACTGTAATTGTATATGATATGTATATATATATGTGTGTGTGTGCATATATATATATATGTGTGTGTGTATATATAGGCGCATACATTATACACATACGTTCTTGTATGTGTATTGTCTATCGCTCTCTCTAGGCAGCCTGAAGTGTTTCTCAGCTGCTGCCTGAAGTCGGATGGCAATGAGGCGCTGGATGTGCTCCTGCGCAGGCGAACTGACTCGCCCTGTTTTAGTGAAAGAAAATGAATCCCATCACCCTAATATTAAACACCCCATAAATGGATATAAATGGTCCCAATTATGTGGAAATTCCCTAATAAACCATGGTTTCTAAGGGGCTGTTTAATATTATGGGGAAGGGATTCTCACACTCAGAAACTGGAAA